AATACAGACTGACATGGCTTTTGGGGAGGTGCCCAGGGTGGGGTCACCTTTCCTAGCCTTGGCCTAGCTCCCTGTTCCTTCTGCAAGACTCCAAAGAGTTGTGTGGGGAAAGAGGCAGTCCAGGACTGATGAGGCCTCTCGGCGGACACAGAGGGGTCTGGCCAGAGTCTGCATTTTCTGTCCTCAGCTGGGCTATGGTTGAGAGTGGGGGGTTGTGTCCACTCTGTCACCATAGTTATTCTTAATTTGGAGGGCAGATAGATTCCTCTCCTAAATGTTAAGTGTCCAATCAAGCTGGAACTGGTTCTTTCTGATTCATATCCCTTTTGTCTGGTTCTAGAAAATAGCAGAAATGCATATGGAGTCAGCAAGATTTGGGATTGAGTCTCAAATTGAGACCCTGTGTGACTTTGAGCAAATAACCAGACCCCTCTGAGCCTCTGACTGACCCAAGGGATAGAGATACTCACCTCAGGGCACAGGACAGTAGGCCTTGGTACAAAGCAATTTTGTTGTGTGGCAGATTAAAATGCTAGGAATGGAACACAGGGCCTTAAGCATGCTAGGCAAGCACTTTACCATAGACTCACAATATTCCCAGTGTGGTAACTGTTTTTTTTTTTTTTTTTTTTTTTGAGACAGGCTCTCTCATAGCCCAGACTGGCCTGGAACTCACTTGTAGCTGAGTATGGCCATGAATTCCCAATCCTTCTGAGTGTTGGTATTATAGGCGTATGCTAACATGCCTGGTTTGAGAATTGTTACCCTTTTCTCTTTATTCCTATAGTTTCTTTATTATTATATTTTTTATTTTATATTCATTTGTGTTTTGCCTGCATGAATGTGTATATGGTGGGTGTTAGAAGCCTTGGAACTGGAGTTACAGACAGCTGTGAGCTGCCATGTGATTGCTGGGAATTGAACCCAGGTCCTCTGGAAGAGCAGCCAGTGCTTTTAAGCACTGAGCCATCTCTGCAGCACTGAGAATTTTACTTTTGAAAGAATGAGAGCTCATTATTCCTCAGCATTCAAGAAGCTAGGACTCAGCAGGGCATCCTCTCCCCTGGCAGGCTGCCTCAGGCTGTGGCAACCACTTTTTCTTGCATAGTTCCTGTGTGTCAGTCATTGCTCTGTTGGCTTCAACAGCTTCAGCTCCTCCGATCCAAACAGCCCAATAAACGACCCTTGTTATTAAGTAGCATAACTCCCTGCTTTACAGATAAACTTATAGAGGCTCAAGGAACCGAAGCTGCTTCCAGGCAAAATGCAAGATTCATCCCAAGCAGCCTGTGCAGAGCTGGCCCTGTGATCCTAGCCTCCTGTGACTTCACAAGGTTCTTACAGCACTTTGATCATTTCTGCCTCCTTTCTTCATCTTGGACATGTGCGGGGGGGGGGGGCCTGGGCATCCCCATCCCTGTAGAACTCTGCATCTTCAACAGACCCAAAAGTGGTTTGGAGGAGCTGGGCTGTGTGGGCCAGGAGAGTGGGCAAGGACCACTGTGCATCAGGCACGTTTCAAATTAGAGGAAAGGTTTGTGGTGTTTGCGAGGCTGCCACTAACAGATTCTTTTGCAAGCAGGCAAATGGCTGACCCCAGAGCTCTGGCAATGTGTGCCAATGTCAGATCCCTGTGGGGTTTGTCTAAACAGGCTGTGAGCAGTGGCTGCTCCCTGACTCTATTCACCCAAGCCCTGCAGCTCACCCCCAGGCATTGCACTCAGAGTTGACAGGATGACTATTGCTCAGCCTCCCCCCATTCCCCCTCCCCAGGTCTTCCTAAGAGTCAGTGTGATGTGGCTGCTCTGATAGGAAAAATCCTAGGTATCCATCGATGTGTTCAAGGATCAGCAGCTTGCAGAACAACCGTGTGTCATGTACCTCCCTTCCTTCCTCCACACATCCACCCCTCTTCCCTTCTTTCTTTTGTGGTACTAGGGATGAATCGGGGGCCTCACACATGCCAGGCAAATGCTCTGCTACCCAGCTACATCCTCAACCCTCTTCCTTACAGTATTTGATGTGTACAAAATAAAGCGTACAGCATACATCTCAAGAAATCCTATCATTTCTAGTGTGGTCAAGGAGACGTCTGCTCAGGGAGACATGTAGAAGTAGCCTGATGGAAGAGAGAGAGAGAGAGAGAGAGAGAGAGAGAGAGAGAGAGAGAGAGAGAGAGAGAGGAGAGAGAAAGAGAAAGAGAGAGAAGAGGAAGAAAGAGGGAGGGAGGAAGGCAGGCAGGCAGACAGACACACAATGACTTCTCATGCTGTCTTCAGGTCACACCCAGGGCCCAGCAACCCCTCTCCAGGTATAAACTGGAAAAATTATAGATAGCCTCTGCGTTCAGGATGTGTGTTTAAAACTGAACAAAAACAGAGGGCAACATTTCTCATGCCTCTTTGTCCTCCTTCTTCCAGGGTGTATACCTGGCTGACCAGTCACTGGTTATGTAGACCAGGTTGGCTTAGAACTCGCTGAGATCCTCTTGCCTCTAACTCCCGAGTGCTGGGATTAAAGGCGCGCGCGCGTGCGTGTGTGTGTGTGTGTGTGTGTGTGTGTGTGTGCTACCACGCACAACTTTCTCATGGTTCTTTGGGCCACCCCAGGACCTAAGCCCCAGGGGCTGTTCTGATGGAAAACTGAAAGAAGTCTCAGGACCACCGTCAAGGACCTTGGAGACCTCGGAGTAGTCTCTTCTGGGTCTGTGGCAGCTCAGGGCCCTGAACTTTCTCTTCTGCAGAGCTGCATGTAGTAGCTTTTCTCTAGAACTAGCCAGCCGAAGAAAGGGCTGAGGTTGGCTACATAGCTATAGTGTGGCTAGGGGACTGGTGCTGGTATCCTCTGTTTTGGCACAGTCACATGGCTAAGGGAGAGCAGTAACCTCAGGGGTGCCAGCTTTCATTAAGCCCCAGCACAAACCCTGAGACAGGAGTCTCCTCCTGTCTGGCTTCCTCACTATAGCTCTCAGGGGACTAAGGGACCCCGTGAAGAGCATGTGGGTGGAGGCTGGGTTCTTGCCTCCTACCTAATTTCTAGTGGCCAGAGCTTGGGTGGGCTGTGGTTTACATCATAGCCAGGGGCATTGGAATTATTTGATCTGTCCTAAGAATAATCTTAGGAGAGCTACACTAATGCAAACCATTTAGTTGTTGTATGGCTCCTGGGAGCCACACATCTTCTATCCATGAGGTTTATTGGACAGTTGCTAAGAAGTCCATGGTGGCTATAAACAGAGCAGGAAGCTAGAGGCTCTTGGTGGAGATAGCAGCCTGGGGCAGCCAACACACATATGTAGTATTTACACATATACTTTACCTCTCTGTAAAGTGGGAATGATTGCATCTAGCTCCCCAAGTCCTGCACTGAATTAATTCATATAAAACTCTCAGATTCCTGGATCTCCTAAGTGCTCAACAAATGAAAGCAATGTTTCTTACTCACGATACCTGAAGGATCCTTTGGCTGAGCAGACACACATTCTGCTCCTGCTCTGCTGTCAGCTGATGGTCATAGCTTTCATATGATTTCACTCTGGGCTTGCTGCTGCCCAGCTGTATCTTGAAGGTCTCAGATTGCTCTGTACCTCTGGGGGCTCACTCTGCTGGTGCCTAAGGGAGTGGTCTCAGGCTGGTTGCCCTTCACCCTGTTCCTCTGACTCGGATGAATTCTACCTCTCGTTCTAGAGCTTTCTCTCTCTAGGACACTCTGGGCATTTCCTCCCTCTGTCTCATTGCCTCTCCCTATATGTAGCTGAGACATATATGTCTCTTAGTTCTCACAATGGCTATAGGGGGTCAGAATTTAAGCTGCACCTATTCCATAGAGGAAGAAGATGGCAGATGACTGAATCAAGCGCTTTTGTATGTAAACAAGCCAGAGTTGGACCCTATCAGCTGGTGTTTGGTGCTCCTTCTGAACCATATGGCCTTGGGTGACCAGGTGCAAGAAGGAATAGATGTTGTACAATCTGAAATTGGAGGACTGTGCTCCATCTTGGGCTCAGATGTGGCCAGTGTGTAGGTTCAAGGAGTTGGATATTGCCTGTGTGTTCCAATCTGAGCTCTGCCAGGCCCCAACAGTGCTCATCACAGGCTTTCCTTCCAAGGCCCTGGAAACCCTGTGTGATTGATTTCTTCACCCCATTCCTGCCCTGAGGTCCTGCACTTGTGGATTATTGCATCAGACATCATTCCCCTGCCCACCAGAGGCAGCATGGCACCCTGGGAAAACCAGATGGAGGGCTTCAGCCAAACACCCTGGGGATGTTCTCCATTACCTTAGGCTCAACCTCTGACAGTGGTGTTGCCCAGGAATCCCCTCAGGGAATGTCTCCCGAATGGCTCAGAAGCCACACCCTGCCTCTCCAGACCATCCGGTCCAGTTGCTTCTTTACACATCTTGGCTGGCCCAGAGAGGGCTGCCCACAGCCATATAGTCCAACACCGAGTACAGATCTGGGATGCAGCTCCGGCCCTGTCTTCCTAGTGTCCCTTCCTAGTCCTCCCCCTCTTCTATAAGCAGCCAGCACCCCATCCATTCGGATCTTTGCCTCCTACTCCCTGGCTGACTGAGCATAGGCAGCTGCTTTCCTGGCTTTGGCTTTTGGAACCGGTATTTGGAAGCAATTTTCCTTAATAGGAGCCCGAGGTTCTTGGAGCTATGGTGTGAACACCTGGTACAACCTGGCAGTGTGCTGTCAAGGTAGGGGCAGGGGAAACTGCCCCCATGTGCCACTGTGGACGTCTGGCCTGTCAAGGACATCAGCGTAGCCCTTCATTCCTCATTCCATAGAAACAGCCAACTGGCCCACAGGACTGGAGCTGGCCAGGGCTGGGCCAATGCTTGGGGATCACCAGATCCAGCCCTGGTACAAATAGGGAAACTGAGATCCAGAGAGGCAAATAGCATAGAGCACTTAGCAGACAGCAGGGATGAGAGCCCCTGAGGGGAAGCCCCGGAGGCCCGCTCAGGGACCCATGTCTGTGGCTGGTCCTTACCTTGGCTGTTGTCTGGCCCAGGAATGACTCTTCGGAGGTGGAGGCTCACCCTATTTGAGGTATGGTTGTGGGTGTCACTGCTTCTCACCTAAGTTGACTCGGCTGGCACCTCTTGATGCTACGGGGGGCATTTTTAAGCAACTGGCATGGGACCCCCCTCTGCTCAGCCCCTTGCCCGTGGCTGTCTGGCCACGGAGGCCTCGCTGCCTTTTACCTTATATGAGCTGAAGAAGCGAGCCTGGTGGTGGGGCAAGGCGGGTGCTCAGTCCTCCCTGGGCCCCCCATTGGCCAGGGCACCAGCCACGTGACTGCCTCGCCTTGACCTGCCCCTGGTGCCGAATGTTTCTTTTACCCCCTAAGGAAGGAGTGGTTGACAATTTTCATATTTCTTCTAAATTTGGAGGTTTCAGACAATGCTGAGGGCTTGGCTCCAGCCGCCAGAGCCCATGTGGAAGTTATTAAACTGGAGAAGGGCAGGGGGGAGGAGGAGGCAGGGAGGAGAGGAGGAAGGGAGTGGGGGACGGACTTTTGAGGGTTGCCAGTTGTCAGCCTGGGAACTCGGCAAACTCCTGGGAGAGAGCTGTGTGTGAGAATTTCCTTCTCCTGCTGCCCCTAGTCCCAGGAATGGACAACGGGGCCCTGGGATATTTTGAAAATCCCCCAAGAGAAAGACACCAGTTGAGGCTTCTGGGGCTCAGCGGGTGATGGGAACGGTGACACATAGCAGGCCCCAGGGAAGGCAAATCTCTTCTCCAGAAATCCAGGACCTTGAGTGGCTACTCCTATCCCTGTGCGAAGGAGGTATAGGGCCCGCACAGGAGGCTGCCCTGATAGGGCAGGCACTTGAAGCCAGCCATACCCTGCTGGGGACTCTGTCACCCTAAGAAACAACCGCAGCCGCTTTCCTTTTCAGTGTCTTACTCTATGGCCTAGGTGGTCTCGGACTCTCAGGTGTACAGGTGTTGGGTGCACAGGTTTGCACCACCACACACAGCCCAAGGCCTTAGCTCTTCTCTCGGCTCCCGCTGAACTCTCAGACACCATCTTGGAGAGGTCGTGTCCTGGCCTCCTCAGGATTCCCCATTACATGCCCTGTTTGCATTTTCCTAGGACTCACCACACACTGTCTTACCCATTTACCTGCCTAGTTTACCACAGGCTCTTCTAGGAGTGGGTGACTTTGGCAAGCTCTGAGTCTCCAGGCTTCCCACAGTGCTAGTCAGAAACATATATGGAGGAGCTGTAGGAGAGTCATGGGCCAGCAGGAAACTCAGCTCTGAGGCCTGCAGAGAGCTCCTCCCAGTGGTCAGCCTTGCCCTCTGTTGAGGGCCATCACTCTATCCCCATCTTTTGCAGCTCAGGGCCTCCCTCAATGTCCACACTAGGTGGTCATCCACTGTCTATTCAGATCTGATTTACAGACAGCTGGACCCCAGGCTGGGGAGGACCCAGGCCGACCCATCTTTTGCTTTCCTGGGAGCTTCACTCTGTGATCTGTTCTCAACTGTTCATGTTCCTGCTAGTATCAGTCTCACACCAACTGTGTGGGTACAACCAGGGGGACCCTAGGGTATGTGGGGGGACAAGTCAGACACAATGCTGTTTTTTTTTTTGTTTGTTTGTTTGCTGTTTGTTTTTTGAGACAGGGTCTGTCTACATAGCCTTGGTTGTCCTGGTACTCACTATGTAGACCAAGCTGGTGTTGAACTCACAGAGAGCCACCTGCCAGTGCCTCCTGAGTGCTGGTATTAAAGGCGTGTGCATCACCATGTGCTCACACTGTTTATCTTAATTGGCTCCCAATCAACTAAGAGAATAAAACACTCCTCACCTACCAAGTGGTCCTTGAGGAAGAGTTTTCTGGAGGTGGCAATCCTGGGCCTCTTTCCACCTTTACCATACCCAGCATTGAGTGCGGGCAAAGTTACCTCTGGCATTCTGAAGTTTTACCTCTGTGACAGTAGGTAACCAGCTACTCTGTCTTTGTGTGGCAGAGCATCCTGGGGAAGGGTGTGAGCAGAAGGAGAGGGGACTGGGCTAACATCTGTGAAGCTAGATTTCCTCCTCCTTAGAAAGGAGTTGAATAGTCAACTCCCAAGGAGCCCGGCTTCCTCTCTCAGGCTGGGAGATGACTCCACAGTGATTTCACTGGAATGCCAGTGAGAGGTGGTGGGTGGAGAAGGCTCATTCTGCCCCTTCCCCAATCTCTGCATGGGAGTTAGCCATCTGATAAGGGCACTGGGAGTGAAACTTCCTTTCTCCAGCCCCTGGGCTCCAGCTGAGTACAATAAAGTACTACCTCCAGAGCCCAGAGGGACAGCAAAACCAACCCCACAGAATTACCAGGGAAAGCCCACTCCGGAGGAGAGCTTGCTACTTCAGGCATGTGCTGTGCAAACATTGGAGATGCTTATGACAGAAAAGAAAAATCGGCAGTGTGAGCCAAGGGGACCCGCCATGTCACCCACCCAAGAGCTAGGTGGCGTCACTCTAGTCTGATCTCCCTGTGAGTTAACAGCATGATTATCAGAAAATCCACTGTGATGTCAGGTGTGGTGGTGCACACCTATTGTCCCAGCTGCTCAGAAGGTCGAGCCAGGAGGACAATGTTAGACTAGGAACTGAAGGCCAGCCTGGGCAATGGACAAGGACTTTGTTGTTGCTCCTCACTTCCACCCCCAAATCCATTGTCATGACGTGAACTAAAGAGACAGGGAAGGTAAAGGCTGCAAAGGGACTTAAGAGGGGCTCTAGTTTGTACAGATGGAGACACAAAAGAGACTGTTTTTTGAAGACAGGGTCACAAGTAGTCCAAGCTGGTTGCTGTGTAGACAATGCTGGCCTTCAACTCCTGATTCTTCATCTATCTCCCAAGTGCTGAGATTACAGGTGTGTGGCACCACACAGGTTCATCTTTACTGTCAGCTTGACTAGATTTAGAATCACTATGGAAACGTCTCCCTAGGAGTGGCTATGAAGATCTATGAGGTTGGAAGACCCACTCTGAATGTGGGTGATGTTATCCTACAAGCTAGGGGCTGAGGCTGAATAAAAAAGAGAAAGCTCCTGAGCATACACCTCAAACAATTGCTACTTCTTGACTGTGGACACAAAGTGACCAGTCTTGTGCTTCCTGACTGTGGACACAATGTGATTCCAGACTGTGGACACAATGTGACCAGCCTTGTGCTTCCTGACTGTGGACACAATGTGATTCCAGACTGTGGACACAATGTGACCAGCCTTGTGCTTCCTGCTTCCATGACTTCCTCCCACTGATGAACTGTACCTCCAAATTGTGTCCCAAAATAAACACCTCTCCCTCCCTCCCTCCCTCCCTCCCTCCCTCCCTCCCTCCCTCCTTCCCTTCCTCTCTTCTCCTCCTCCTTCTCTTTTTGAGACAGTGTTTCTCTGTGTAGCTCTGTAGATCAGGCTGACCTGGAACTCACAGAGATCTCCCTGCCTCTGCTCCCAAACGCTGGGATTAAAGGTTGTGCCCCTGCCACCACTACTCGGCAAACCTCTTTTTCTTTAAGTTGCTTAAATTATGTGTGTGTGTGTGTGTGTGTGTGTGTGTGTGTGTGTGTGTGTGTGTGTGTGTGTGTGTGTGTAACATAGTGCACATGTGAATGTCAGAGGACAACTTCTGGGAGTCTGTTCTCTCATTCCAGAGGTCAAAATCAGGTTATCACTATATGTCTTTATCTGTTGAGTCATCACACTGTGCCACAGGTTGTTGTTTTTCAAGGCAGGATTTCTCTGTGTAGCCCTGGCTGTGCTGGGATTCACTCTATAGTCCAGGCTGGCTGAAAACTCAGAGATCTGACTGTTCTGCCTCCTGAGTTCTGGGATTAAAGGTGTGTGCCACCATTGTCCAGCCCAACAAGTGAATTTTGTTTTGTTTTTAGGAAAGTAATTCAAAATTCTTATAATTAGTTGCTGTGTGATCAAATTATCCTCTCAAAAGCATACTCCCATTAGCAGGTCAGCTGGAAGAGTAGAGGGTGTATTACTTCTCGAAGACATGCCAGAAAGATTTCCACAACACAGTTAGGAAGTTCTAAAGTGCCTGGTGCAGAAGATGCATGGTAGAATCTCACAGGAGTAAAACAATGCATCCGCGTGTGGGTGAGGTGGGTAAGTGTGTGAGCAGTCAGGTTGAATCAGTTTTTTCTCTCCGCGAGTCTTCTGCACAGACAAGCCAAGACAGAATCTCCCTGTGCAACGCCTGAGGGAGCATCTCTGGGGACAGCAGGGGTAGGTGAGCTACCCCATTGTCCTGGAGAAGGAAGTAACAAACTCTTTGTGCTGCTCGCCAAGGAAGATTGGCTGTGGAGGTGGAGGGAACAATGTGTAGCATAGTTCTCCCAAAACTTTGGGGCACCCTGGTATGAAATGCTGACAGGAAACAGGAATGGATTGTATTAGATGGCCCTGGTGAGTTGGCATGGGGCCCTTTCCTGGTTTAGTGGGAACACTGGCTGTCACCCTGTGGCCCCTTTGGGAGTCCTGAACTTGACCCACAACTCAGGCAGTAACTTGCTGAGATTGGCCTAACTTGATCCTCTATGTCTTTCTGCCACAGTGAATGTACTTACAGGACCTAAGGGGCTAACATTGCTCAGAGGGACAGCAAGCACCCTGCCCACTATGACCTGGCAGGACTGGGGTGCCGTGTATAAACAGGAGGTGATAAGAACAGTGGAGAGGACAGGAAGACTATTTTAGTTCATAGTTCAAATCATATTCTATCCTGGTGAGGACTTCAAGGTAGGAGTTTGGGCATATTACAGGTCCAAATTCTTAGGTGTGGAGGATTGACTTGAATAGATTAATTTGGGGAAGGTATACAATTCAACCCTGGACATGAGTGAGGAGACGTTGCTACACACATAGCCATGTGCTGTTGCTTCTAACAGCTTCAATGCTCCTCCGGAGCTCAGGAATCTGGATGGGGTACTTTTCAGTTTGAATTCTAGTTTGGAAAGGGTACTACAAAGGCTCCAACCTAAATAGGATGCCATCTACCTACCATGCCATCCATCCCATCATTCCACAGTAGCAAGTTTCACACCATTGAGCACTTGAATCTGGGGTTGTAGAAATGTCACTGTTCTCAGAAACTAAAAGAGGTAGAGGGTTAAAGCCCTATGATTGACAGGTGACAGCCACTACTAATCAGACCTACCTGTTGAGTAACAGTTTTCTGAGAGTTGAAACATTCCAAGTGGGAAGGGA